CTAACAAACTATTTTTCCTTTAATAGTTTGGGTTGAATGCTACCTCTATTGTGAAGTCAGCTTGGACTTCCTCTTCTTTGCATTCTTATCACTTTGCACATACTTTAATCAAATTCAAATAGCCTGGATTTGAACCTGCCAGATTCTAAATGTGTGTGACCTTATGCAAGTCACTTGATTGTGCTTCAGTAACCTCATCTGCAAAGCAGGGATAATAATGGCTCCTATTTCATAGAGTTGATATGGGAATTAGTAAGTTACTATGTATAAAATTATTAGAGAACTTTTGTTTCCTTAGTTGACCATAAATTCATTAGCGGGAAGTATCAAGTCGTCTTCTACTTCTACTTATTCTACTTATTGAGCTTTAGATCAACTGTATATTACTATTATGAAGTGTGATTTAGTTTCCAAGATTCTCCATTCAGGATACCTTTATTATTAAAACTAGTAACAACCTACATGAGAGAAACACTACATATAAGCAAATTTGTTTGCTATTATTATGTCACATTAAGTGAAAACAACAAGAACAAAGCATGTATTCATAGAGATTAAATGTAGGGAAATAGTTTCACTGTAGCACTCTGGAGACCTTGTACTTTCACATAAGCCACATAGGCAAGGCTGAACTACAGTGTGACCCAGGTCTTGGCAGAACATCCTGTGATCCTCCCAGAACACGGGAAGATAGGCAGTCTCATGAGAAGCTGCCTCAATGCTGTTTCTCATCTGTCTCTTTACCTCGTGAGAGGCTTCCAGGATGCAGCTTCCTACTCCCTGATCCAGTAAGGCATAGGACTTTCCACCTTCCTACCCTTGGATACAGATGTGGACTATAACACAGCTAGCTGCTGTCTAGAATTGACTCTTCAGCAACAGAGTGTTCCACTGCTTATGTAGCCTGTCATCTGGTCCCTTTGATTTGATCCTGTGGACAAAGGGATACTGGGAGCTAACACTTTGCTGATCTTGGTAAGACTGTCTGTGTAAGTAATAAATGATATCTTTTTAAGGTAAGGGCAATTGTTTCCTTATTGGATTAATTTGTGAAAGTCTTACAAGCTACCTAGTAGCTGCCACTGTACTGCTGCTTGTCTTGACAATAAGCTCTTCAAGAGAAGAATGTCTATTTTGTTCAATATTGTATAACCAGCATGTGGTCCATAATAAGTGCTCAATAAGTATTTTTTGAATTTAAAAAATTATAGCAAACAATGATACATATGTATTCAAAATATATTGTCAAGGATATATACATCAAACCCTTTGGGAAAAAGCTTTGGGTGAAGGCATGGAGAATATATCTAGAAGATAAATGGGACAATGAAAATAAAATAAAGTAAAACAATGTATGAGCCTTCTACAGATGAGGTTTAAAGGAAAGCATATATATCACCTAGGAAGAAGAAGGCCTCTAGCTCTCTTACTTATATTTCTATCTGTAAGCCTGACCTTAGTTTCTCAACTGTAATATAAGGAGTATAGACTAGATGAACATCTTTCAAACTGTGTTCCAAGGAGCCCCAGTCATTCTCCTGAGAACTGCCTCATGGGTGGTAGTACCTTTTGAAACAAAGCAGTGGTACTTTTATGTGATTTATTCACTGGGCTTTCTCATAGAATTTTGTTTGAAGAAAAAGCTTGACAGCTAAAGACAAACCTGTAAACCACTGGCTTAACTCTAGCTCTAAAATACCTAAATATAGATTAAGGCAAGAGAAACTTGGTAGCTACAAACTCAGGAGTAAAGCAGCAGAGGATAACAATAGGGCAGGTGGAATTTGGATGATGGGGTTCTTTGGATTTGGGGCTAGAGGGAAGTTTGGCTAAAGACATACATATTTCTAATTCAGAATTTTGTTTGGGGCCATCATTTTGATTTAGTGCCCATAAATCCTGCTTTCTTATTTGGAGTTTGGGGAGGGTAAAGGAAAGAGTGTTCCTTGTGAATTTTTTTTTTTTTTTTGAGTTGGAGTCTCACTCTGTCGCCCACACTGGAGTGCAGTGGCCGCTCCTAGCCACCGCAGCCTCAACCTGCTGGGCTCCGGCGATCCTTCCGCCTCAGCCTTCCAAGTAGCCAGAATTACAGGTATGCGCTACCACACCCGGCTGATTTTTTGATTTATTGTAGAGATGAGGTCTCGCTGCCCAGGCAGATCTCGAACCCGTGGGCTCAAGCAATCCACTCACCTCAGCCTCCTAAAGGCACGGGATTACAGGCTGAGCCACCGAGCCCGGCCCTTGTGAATTTTTAAACCCCAGATCACTCCTTGTAATTAAACAGATTGTATTCCTATTTTCTTCGGCAGTTTAAGTAAGGGTTTTCGTCTTAAAGCCTCTGGATTGAATTTTTATATATAGACCAGGCCCAGGACCCAAATAGCATATTTAGGAAATTCTAAGGTACAATTTTCCGTACATTTTAATGTTTACAATATTGAGATGCATCATACAATCAATGACTACAGTTAATGTGGTATTATATCTATTTTTCCTCAGAAACATTGTTGTTAAATAAATGGCACATTTACAATTTGATGATGTCTTAGATTCAAGGAAATATCACATTATTAATAGGAACAAAAAAACCATATACATTTGATCAAGAAATACTTGAAATGGGCTCAACAACCTCTTTACTCTGAGTCTTATCAGTGGGGTTAATCAATGATGGTGGATGTCATCATTAATATGCCTATAGGATAAAATTCAAGCTACAAGTAAAAGCTGTATATTTTTTTTTACCTTTTTTGAGTCAGCTTACCAGTCTACCATTGCCCACACTTATTCTTTATTTTTGTTATACTCACTGCTTACTCAAATATGCCATGCTATTTCATGCCTGGATACCTTTCCATGTGCTCTTACCTCTGTCTTAGAGTGTCCCTCTTAGAATGTTGTCCACTATAAAAATCTTATCCACCCAGAGTTAACACCTTCCTGCTTTATATTACTATGCACATGATATATGCCTCTAAATATGTACTTACCATACTGAACTGCAATGATTTATTAGGTTTCCATCTCCTTTACTGTGAATTTCTTGAGGACAATTGACTGTTTCTTATTTATATTTGTAACTCTAGTATTTAGGACAGTGTCTGGTATGTAATAGCATTCATTAAGTATTTAAAGATTTAATAAATAAAAAAAGGAAAAAGAGAAAAACAATATACAAGTGGTAAAGTGCCATAGCATCAACAAATGTTGTATTTGCTGCTGCCATTCAATAGTGTCCATGACTTATCCAAACCTTCTTACAATCGTCTACACTGAGTTTAATTTTTAATAATAGAATTAGTTCATTTATGTTAGTTTTATCTCCTTAGTTGACTATAAATTCATTAGAGGGAAGTATCATGTTGTCTTCTGTGTATACTTATTGAGTTTTAGATAAACTGTATATTCCTATTATGAGGTGTGATTTAGTGTCTAAGATTCTTCATTCAGGATGCCTTTGTTATTAAAACTAGTAGTGTGAAAGATCCTTTTCCTTCTGAGAAAAATAAAAACAAACTATGCAAAGGAGATATGGAAAGGCTTGCAACAGTTTTATTTATTTAGGGCCTAAAATTTCTCCAGAGTTTAGAGCAATCCCTTACACTAGACATCAAAACCACAATTTTACAGTAATTTAAGAGAGGAATTTGAATATTACTGGTAAAATCCTGGGAGCTAATTACTTCAAGATTACTTGAAACCTTAACTCATTAAAGTTTGAAAAATCTCCAGGCCAGGCTCGGTGGCTCAGCCTGTAATCCCAGCACTTTGAGAGGCCGAGGTGAGTGGATTGCCTGAGCCTGCTGGTTCGAGACCAGCCCTGGCAATATGGTGAGACTTCATCTCTACAATACATCAAAAATTATTCGGCCACAGTAGCACGTGCCTGTAGTTCAGGCTACTTGGAAGGCTGAGAAGGAAGGATCACCAGAGCCCAGCAGGTCAACTCTGAGGTGACCATGAACGAGCCACTGTTCTCCAGCCTGGGTGACAGAGTGAGACTCCAACTCAAAAAAAAAAAAATTTCCTGAGGTATTTAAAGTCACTATTCCCATTATGTTACTTGATTCGATTGAATGTCTTAGATTTTACTAATAAGAGAAAACCTCAAGTTCATGCAAAGGAGAAATTCCATTTATCATTTGATTAATGAAAAAATATTGAGTATCTCCCATGGGTACCTCAGTATTCTATAATGTATCAGAAGAGAGGAGGGAGAAAGAAGAAGCACATAGCCTTTGATCTCAAAAAATACATTTTTGACACTAGAATTACATGCGTATGTTGCCAAAATGAGTCAAATTCCATACTCTAGGTTAGGCCCAGACTTTTCAACAGAATCATTATAAGGATCAAATAAGCAAAAGTAAGCTGGTATTATTGATATTGTTGGTATTTCTACTGTTATTATATAGAAACAATGACTTGGCAAAGGATGCTCTCCAACATGCTGTTAAATGTCATTCAGATAAGGGAACCAAGTAACATTTTGGATGTCTTCTTAGTAATTTTCATCAGAAGTTCAGATCCAAACATTAAGAACAAAATTCCTTTTTAAATCCCCATTGCAAGCTGAGTCATTTCAAAAAATATAGAAATAGGAGGCAAGACAGGTTCAGGGAAGGAAATATTTTATTCTGATTGCCTGTTAATTCATCAGAAGTTAATAGCCAATCAGATGGCATGCATGGAACAGAACTAGGATGAAAGAAAATTCATTCCAATCAGATTGAACAGTTTTAACAGGAATAGAAATATAAATCATGTATTTCCTCATATGATTCTGTTTATTTACAAATCTTATCCAACATGTGTAAACTTAGTTTATTTTGTACATGTTACCAATTTTAAACTATTTATCCCATTATTCCCTTTGGTACCTGAAACCACTACATTTAAAGAGTTTATAATCTTGCCTACAATATTGTATATACAATAGTCAGCCAATTTAGCCACAACGGTCATATAGAAAATGAAGAAGGGGAGAAGAGGCTTACCACTAGATCCGTACAACTTGCTGTTGATGAGTCCTTTCTTGTCAGTCCTAGGAATATATCCTCAGTTCCCACTTGTTGTTGGAATATAATTTCATATCTGAAAGAAAGTTAATGATAATTAGACTCAAATGAAGAAACAATTTCCTGTCATAGAGCAGAAAACTGGAAACTTATGAGGACATGTTATTATAAAAAATAAAAGGACTAAATAAATAAAATGTTTGCAGTTTTGCAGTCATATAGTATAACATAAAGGAAAAGAATGCTGGGCATGGTGGCTCATGCCTGTAATCCCAGCACTTTGGGAGGCTAGGGAGGGAGGATCGCTTGGGCCCAGGAGTTCGAGACTAGCCTAGGCAAAATAGTGAGACCTCATCCCTACAAAAAAGAATTTATATATAATATATATATATATAAATTATATATATATAATATATATATAATATATATATATGCACACACACACACACACACACACACACACACACACACACACATAAATATACATATCTTAGCCAGGCATGGTGGTGTGCCTGTAGTTCCAGCTACTTGGGAGACTGAGGCAGAAGGATTGCCTGAGCCTAGGAGGAGGAGCCTGTGATGAGCTGTGATCATGCCACTGCACTCAGCCGGGAGACCAGGTGAGACTTTGACTCAAAAAATAAAATTAAAAAAAGGAAAAAGAAGTCTAGAAATGTGGTAAAAAATATCAAATACTGAAACAGGATTTTATTATTTTCTAAAATAAAGCTTTACGTTTTAGAGTTACATAACTAAAATGAATTGAGGGAACTTCTAATAAGATTCTAATAAGATTAAAAATAGAAGGAAAAAAGGAAAGCCTTTTCCTGGAAAATAATGATTCAGAAAAATACTGGGCCCATAACTCAGGGTTTGATGGACAGATAGAAACCCTCCTCTGATAAGATTAAATCAGACTAGAGTTAGGAAATCCAGGTTTAGTATTTTTTTCTGTCATTAACTGTGGACCTTGGTTAAGTCACAAACTCATGGGGTCTCAGCTTCTACCTATGTATGATTTCTGAGAGGTGTGGGTTTGAACTAAATAATTTCTATAGTCTTTAATTCTACAATAGAAATACTTGTAATGTGATGAACACAGCTACACTCTAATGTTTAGAATCTGGTCTTACAAAATTCTTAGTTCAATGAAAGATTTTCCGTCTTTCACCCCACACATGAAAATTCACAAATCTTTTCTTTCTCCCAAACGTGGGCCCTTGGGGATAGAATGGTTTATAGAAGCACCCAGCCAAAAGGTACTCTATCTCTTCAGATAGAATGAAAAAATTATCAATTATTATTTCTGCTTAATTCTACCCTAATGAAGAAATGGTAAATCTCTGGAGTAAGAAGAAAGGATTAGATTGAACTTCTGACCATTTGCAAATAGGAATGCCCAAGAATGAAAAAGGGTTTTCTCTGAGTTTGAACAAGACTAACAATAAGTAGTATTTGATATGGAGTATTTTTCTCTTAATAGGCTATAACATCTACCAAGTATTTACAAAGGTGAAGTCAGGTTAGAACAAACAGAAGTGATTGATCCATATGCTCATGACTCCCAAATGGAGTTTGCTTTTTTTCCTGAGCTCCAGATACAATTTTCCAACTACCTACTATATAGTTTGCTTGATGTCCCAAAGACATCTCAGAGTCTGCATATCCAAAATCAAACTCACTGCTTCTCCTCCACCTATAATCCCTATCAAAGTTAATGGTATTAGCATTTACTCAATCACTTAAGTGAGCAACTTCAGCATCATCTTTAATGCTTTTATTTCATTCATTTCAGTTTTTCAAATACCAAATCTTCATTCAAAACGCTCTCAAATAAAGACCCTCATACTTTTCCCCAAAGACAGTGCCTTAGCTAAGGCCCTTGCTATTTTTTTATTTGGCCATTTGTGATTCTTCTTTTGTAAATTGCCTGTTTATATTCTTTAACTATTTTCCTCTTTACCCAGTGGGACATTTTGAAATGTATTTTCATAAGGTAGGAAAAAAAAGACTAAAAGTCACATAAAGCAAATTTTCTCATGAGTTTCATGGATATTCCATCTACAGAACATCAAATATCATGATGAAAAGTGAAAATTTACTCTAATTTGAAGCTTGCTGCATATGGATGCTTGATATTCGTTAGACAATATGACAAATGGGTGACTTAATTCTTAACCTTTCATATGAATGTGTGGGCACTGTATGAACATAACCTGAGATTTACTCTCTTCATTCTTATGAAAAAATTTTAAATTGTCTTTGATTTTTTTAATGAGGTTTATGGTTTTGACACTGTTTGTTTGAAAGCTGGATACTTCTTTTCTGTTAACTATCTATAGTTTCCCACTGCTTCTATTTTCAGAAGTGATGTAGAAAATGGAAGCATTTTTTTTAAAACACTGGACCGTTGTAGTCAGAATTAGAAAAGTTGTTAGATCACTTACCATAAAAAATATTTAAGAATTTATAAAGTACATAATATTTAGTATATGTTGGCTTTGTTTTCTAGCTATGATATAGTCAATCAATATTTTATTTCAAAATACATATATTTAAAGCTTAGTCTATTTGATCATTAATTTCGCCTATGTATGTAAACATACTTTAAGTTCTCTCAAAGGTTGAGCATTTATTTTTATCAGAATAAAAGGCTTTTTGTGATTATAATTCTAAATTTCATATTTATAATTTGATGGTATTGAAAAGGCTACAAAACAAGGCTTAAACTCTGCTTGCAAAATACACTGAAGACTAAGTATAATTTTTAAATAGCTAGTAAATAAGTCTGGGTAACAACTGATAATTGGAGGGAGAACATAGCCTTTTACTGAAATTATAGAACACTGAGTAATTAGAAGGAGGTCTTTGACACAGAAACATGGTATTGTAATTTAGTTTGTATGAATGCTTGCAGTTTAATTGGCTGGTTTTCTTCTACGGATAGTTCCACATTATACAAAGAACTGACATTAAAAATAAATTAATAATGGACATGACTATATTTTTCATCTTTTGCCAGATAATAACTGAAAGGGAGGTATTATGTTTTATTATTTGCTTCTGCTCTAGAAGGAAAAAAACATCAATTATAAATGCCTTCTGTGTGTTGTTGTAGTTTTATCTTTTATGTGGTGTAAGTTACTTTATGAATCTTGACAGAAATAGAATGGTATCAGATGATGCATATAACTTAAACTCCTAAACACTCCTGGTTTCATTTGACTTACTCTGGGATTTCTCTAACGTCCCACATATCATCATGCTCTGCTCCTTCTGGAACCTCTTCTGGATTCCAGATGTCCTCATTATTTTCCTCACTGGTTTGAGGGATGACTGTGAAGAAAGGGAAGATAAAGCTGAAACTGTTGCTTTTTTTCTTCCTTTAAATTGCTCCTGTTATTTGTCGCCCTCAGTTTGGGATATCTGAAGTAAAACATTCTTCACTTGCAATCACTAGCTTATTTTGTGGTCAAAACAAGCGAAATAAGTAACAACTGACTTTAAATATTTTTATCAATACAGAACAAATACATTGTAGAATTGTAATAACAACTGTAGAACATTTGGAAAAATATATAAACAAAAAGAAGAAAATGATCTACAATCCAACTGCCTGGAGATAATCAATGCTAGCATTCTGGAGTGTATCTTTACAATCTCTCACTCTCTCTCTTTCCATATATATATATTACATTTGTTTTGAAACATAAATAAGATCATATGTAAAAATATTTTTATATAAAAGAACAAATCCCAAACATGATCAGTCTGATTTGGATAGAAATGTCTTATCTTACATTGTGTCTTACTATATAAAAACCCTCATGTATGTTTGTAGCGATATGAATATCCCTCTTAGTACTGATTTCACGGCATCCCAGAGGTTTTGGTAAGATGTTTCTTCATTTTCATTTATTTCCAGGTATCTTTTAATCTCTTTTTTGATGACCATGTTGACCCAGGAGTTGCTTAGTATTGTGCTCTTTAGTGTCCATATCTTTGTGGGTTTGGGGGAAGCTTTGTCAGTGTTGATATTTATTTTTATTCCACTGTGGTCTGAGAAGGTGCATGGCAGTATTTCAATCTTGTGAAATTTTTTTAAGCTTGATTTATGACCGAGGAAGTGGTCGATCTTAGAGTACATTCCATGTGGTGATGAGTAGAATGTATATTCCGTGGTTGTTGGGTGAAGTGTTCTGTATAGGTATCAATTAAGTCTATTTGGTCAAGTGTCCCATTGAGGTTCTGGATCTCCTTGTTGATATTTTGTCTTGATGATGTCTAGGGTTGTGAGTGGGGTATTTAAGTCTCCAGCTATGATAGTGTTAGAGTCAAATCTTTTTTAAGTTTACCTAGAAGCTGCTTTATGAAAGCTGATGCCTCTATGTTGGGTGTATATATGTTTAGGATGGATTGATGGATTGAACTTATTGATGGATTGAACTTTTTATCATTATGTAGTGAACTTCCATATCTTTTTAATTTTTTGATAGCTTAAAGGGTATTTTGTCTGATATTAAAATTGTGACTCTTGCTTTCTTTTTGTGTTCCGTTCACCTGAAATTTTGTTTCCCATCCTCTTACTTTTAGTCTGTGAGTGTCTTTCTGGTGAGATGAGTCTCTTGGAGACAATATATTGTTGCCTCATGATGTTTTATTCATTTTGCAATTCTATGTCTTTTCAGTGGGGCAAGCATGGCAAAATTCTTTTTTTTTTTTTTTTTGAGTTGGAGTCTCACTCTGCCCAGACTGGAGTGCAGTGGCACGCTTCCGGCCACCACAGCCTTGACCTGCTGGGCTCTGGCGATCCTTCCGCCTCAGCCTTCCAAGAAGCTGGAACTACAGGCGCGCACTACCACACCCAGCTAATTTTTTGATTTTGTTGTAGAGATGAAGTCTCGCCAAGTTGCCCAGGTGGGTCTCGAACCCGTGGGCTCAGGCAATCCACTCATGGCAAAATTCTTAAAACAATAATATCAATTACAGAAACTGAAAGCAGTGAATACAATGATCATTTTTGAAGAATCCAGTATTTTCCTCATGTAGACATAAACTTTAAAGAAAATCCCTTTACGCAGAACTGAGCATGTGCTTGGGTTTTGACATGTCATCTTTAAATGTTTAAATGTAGACAGGCTCCAGTAGGCATGCAAAAACCTAGCTTACATTTGTTCTAACAATTGTAGCATCAAATGGAGACCTGCATTAGGTGCAGAACATTACTTTGAGTCCTTTTAAGCATTTCCAGAAATGCACCCAATTGTAAGGTTTTCAGTTCTGCCACTTCTTTTAAAATTATCTGCTATGGTCTAGCATAACTACAGATTTATATATAACATTGTATATATGTTGTTGCCCTAAGAATTTAAAGATTATTAGGCCTACATTGTCAGAAATATAGGAGGTACAGAAATACATCAAATGCAAACTAGCTCACCATGGATTGAATATCTCTTGAATAAGGCAAATAAGGTCTCTTGAGTATGCATAACAATAATAAATGAAATTTTAAAACCATCTTCAGACCTCATTTTAGCCATTATTTTAAACACTTTTCCAGATAATATCTTTCACAATTAGCTAAAGTGATAAATGAAATCCATTTCCTCTCCCTGCCTGTCCTCTGGTTAATAGTAATCAAGAACAACAGAATTGCAGCCTTCCATATTTTTAAAGATTCGTGAAATGTTCAACTCTGTAAAAATGTATACACCAAAATGCTGGAAAAACATTAATATTATTTTAATTTATTGAACCTATGATTTTACACTTTAATTCATGAGCATTTCAATGCAAAATAACATTGTGTAGTTGTTTTATTATCTTTTCCAAAAGTCTTTTAGCTCAGTCAGGACAAGACTCTTTCTGTTTTGATCTACATTGTAGTCTCAGAGACGGCCATACTGCCTGGTACACAATAAGCTCTCAATAAATATTTATTAAGTTAATGAATGAATTCTATGAAATTTCCAGACTATAGAAAGGTAGAAGGTAAGCATCTTGGTAAAAAAAAGCCTAAAAATTTTAAAAAATGATCTAATCACTTACATGTGACTTTCTTGGTCTTCTATCCCAGAAAATATGCCAAGGAATGTGAATAATTGAAGGCAACTTAATTTCCATTATTAGAAAAACTACTTACCTGCAGCAGTAGAGTAAAAATATCTTTATATGTAAATGGCTCTTCATCACTTCCACAATTATTTTAGTTCAACTTCCTTTTTTTTTTGAGTTGGAGTCTCACTCTGTTGCCCAGACTGGAGTACAGTGGCACGCTCACAGCCACCCCAGCATTGACCTGCTGGGTTCAGGTGATCCTTCTGCCTTAGCCTTCCAAGTAGCCGGAACTATAGGCACGCGCTACCACGCTTGGCTAATTTTTTGTTTTATTGTAGAAATGAGGTCTTGCCACATTGCCCAGCCTGTTCTCGAACCCATGGGCTCAGGCGATCCCCTCACCTCGGCCTCCCAAAGTGCTGGGATTACAGGCTTCAGTCACTGTGCCCAGCCAATTCTTCTTTTTACAAATTATTTACTTACTTATTTTTAATGAACAAATAAAAATTATTTATATTCATGATGTATTTACAACATGATATTTGAAATATGTCCACATAGTGAAATGGCTAAATCAAGCTAATTAGCATATACATTACCTCACATACTTATCATTTATTTCTGATGAGAACACTTAAAATCTGCTATCTTAACAATTTTCTAGTATACAATACATTATTATTTAGTCTATCTTAATAAGTACTAGTGTTAGTTAGTATTATTCTTCCTATAATTTTGCTACCAAGGAAAAGTTATATTGATCTATACTGCTTTGCTAAATAACTTACCTTTAAGCTCTTCTGTTTTTGGTGGCCCAATATTCCCAGGACCCATGGCTCCAATAGTAGATAAAAAATTTGACTGGGGAGAAGAAAAAAAGTCCAGCATTCCACAATTATTACTTCTATTATCTATATGACTAGTAATATTTTAATTTGATAAGCTTTTTATCTAAAAATACTCATAGAGCTTTCCAGTTTAATTATCTATCATGGTTATACAACAGAGAGACAAACACCAAGTATTATTTTGAATGTGCTTTCCTTGTCCTTCCTAAAAGTATTTGGTTTAATAGACTCTGCCCTAGAGTCAGACTAAATCCCTAGTTCCAGCTCAGTGAATTATATACACCTGGAAATATGGCAATAACCCACATTCATCTCTGTGAAGGTTAGAACCAAGTGTTGGTATACAAGCATTGGCACTTTGGGGTTTTAGCAGTGTCAGTTGTAATTATATGGGGAATAGCAGTATGGACACGTTTTAAATAAATAAAAACTGACTACTAAATAGAGGCTAAGTATTTAGACTTCAAATAATCCATTCAAAAGCCTTGACAACTGCTTTTGCTTCTTTCCACTATGGGTATCAAAGTGTGGTAATTTCTAAAAGAACTAAAAATCGACCTTCCATATGACACAGCAATCCCCCTTCTGGGAATATAACTGGAGGAACTCAAATCATTCTATAAAAAAGATACCTGCACACGCATGTTTACTGCAGCATTATTCATAATAGCAAAAACATGGAACCAACCATGCTGCCCATCAAAAGTGAACTGGATTTTAAAAATGCAGTACATATACATGATGAAATATTATGCAGCCATAAAGAAGGACAAAATTATGGACTTCACAGCAACTTGGATGAATTTAGAGTCTATCATGCTCAGTGATCTATCACAAAAACTAAGAACTGAGTACCATACGTTCTCACTCATAAGCAGATCCTGAATATTTATCATATAATATAAGAAAGGGTTTGGCAGTAGTGGGACACTGTCAGGGTGGCAGGGGAGGGCACATAACATCAATAAGGGTACCTTATCAAAACAGACAAAGTGGGGACCAAGGGGAGGCCCAAACTACCTGTACGATGACCATGTATGTACCTAATCCTGAATTGTACACTACACCATCCCACCACCTCTTGACACTGAACTAGTAGAATCAAACAGTAACCTCAAATTAATAGTGCCAAATACAAGCTGAAGCACTTTATATAAGTTTATTTTGTCATATTCTACACAAGCATGCACACCCCATAGAACTGCCCTTGATTCACCAGTATAAGAACAATTTTCATTTTTTCAATTAAGTAGAACACCAACAGTATAGTGGTACCACTGTGGTACAGTGGTACAACTTCATGGACTTCTCCCAGGGATTCTTTGATATTTCAAGAAAATTCCAATTTCTTACTAATTATTCTTGCTGATGTCAGACTCTGTAGTTCCAACTCACTCCATTGCTGGCAGTCAAGGACTTAAATGTGAAATCTCAAACTAAAAGAATCCTAGAAGAAAACCTAGGGAACACCCTCCCACACATCAGCTAGGCAATGAATTCATGGCCAAGTCCTCAAAAGCAAAGGCAGTAAAAACTAAAATTGACAGGTGGGACTTTGTAGAGCTAAAAATTTTTGCATAGCAAAACAAATCATAAAAAGTAAAGAGACAATCCACAGAATGGGGAAAAATATTCACAAGCTATGCATTCAACAAAGGCATAACATCAAGGATCTACAAGGAAGTCAAACAAATTGACAGGATAAAAACAAATAATTAAGAAGTGGGTAAAGGATATTAACAGACACTTCTCAAAGGAAAACATATAAGCAGCCAACAAGCACATGAAAAAAATGCTCAGTATCACTAATCATTATATAAATGCAAATAAAAACTACAGTGAGATATCTCACACCAGTCAGGATGGCTTTTATTAAAAAGTCAAAAAACAACAGGTATTGGTGAGGTCACAGAGAAAAGGGATGCTTGTACACTTTTGGTGGGAGCTAAGCTAGTTCAACCCTTGTGGAAAGCAGTTTGGAGATTTCGCAAATAACAAAAAATAGAGCTGCTGTCTGACCTACCAATCCCACTCCTGGGAATATACCCAAAGGAACATAAATTGCTCTACCAAAAAGACACCTGCATGCATATGTCTATTTCAGCACTATTCATGATAGCAAAAACTTGGAACCAACCCTGATGCCCATCAAAGGTGGTCTGGATAAAGAAAATGTGGTACACATGCATGATGAAATACTACACAGCCATAGAGAAGAACAAAATCATGTCCTTTGCAGCAACATGGATACAGCTGGAGACTATCATTCTAAATGAACTATCACAGAAATAAAAAACTGAATACTGCATATTCTCACTTATAACTGGGCTCTAAACATTGGGCACATGGCCACAAGGACAGGAACAAGAGACGCTGGGTACTGCTAAAGGAGGGAGAAGCGGGGGGTGGATAAGGGATACAAAACTACCCATTGGGTACCTGCCCACTACTGGGCTGGGGAAAAGCTAGTCAGAAGTCTGAACCTCATCTTTACATAATATATTTATGTAGTAAATCTTCACATGTACCCTACGATTCTAAAACAAAAAGATAAAAATTCTTATCTCCTTGGATTCTGTCAGACTAGTACCTCTGTCTCTCTCAGGCCCCTGTCATCATCTCCTAAGACTTTAGACATGTACAAAAGTTAGAATGCACTGTTTGGACAAGGGGAGTAGTATCTGTCCTTGAAAGCTGAGGGAACAGTTCACCTGGGTCTTTATTATGCTAAACTATTCCAACAGTTATAAATCAGAAATTAATCTACAACATTTCAAAAGTGTCTGAGACAGTAACTCTTTCTTTCCAAAAAGGTGTTTTAAAAGTGCTACGTCTGCGATTAAGGTGTTATAGGCATTTTTATGTGAAAAACTCAAGACAGTATTTGGGACATTTTCCCCTCTTTTTTAATCACTAAGGTCATATAACCGTGTAGTACTTTCCTTAAATTATTAATAATCAGAACACTAACAATCTATCAGGGTAAAGTATTTCTCGGAACATGAGGGCCTCTAGTTTTGATGAGTGTTTCCTTTCACAGAAAATTAAAATCAGTGGAAATAAAACCCTGGACATTCCTGACAAAAATTGGTATAATCTCTATGGACAGTGATGATTGGACCAGTATATTAGAACAGAGGGGAGTTTCAATTTATTAGCTTAATGAAAATAAATGATTAAAAATAAAATTTTCAAGTAAAAAGATTGAATGGGATAATAAAAACTTTAAAAACCACTGGCAATTGTTTTCTATAAGGATATCATTTGAGCCTTTATCATGAATCTACAGCCAATTATCCGAGCAATTTATCATTGCAATTCATGCCACTTTGTAATATGTAAGAGAGTCAGAACATCCTTGTTACAATATCTGTGAAGAGCGGTGAACCTTATTTTCCACAGGCCTTAAGATCCTCTCATGAGTTTGAAAAATGACAGACACACTCTCTTCCCTATCTCCTAGAGTCTTAACAATTCATGTAGAAAAGGGATAGTATAAATGAACCTTGTGTATGCAACAGTTCTCTTGCTGTTTTCAGTGAGTGTATTTTAAAAAACACCTCACTCTTGTAATCATCCTACAGTTCCCAAGATTAATACATGTTAAAAAATGAAAAGCAGTTTCTCTCCTGGAAAATTTAATAGTTCATTAGAAACATTAATTATTCTCCCACTGTTCTGGCGTTCTAATTCTATACCCTCTAATGATATCTGTACTGTGGTGTCTGAATGACCAATTATCTCAAAATTGCTTATAACCTAGATATACAGAATCATATATTATTATAGTAATTTTCCTTTATAAATTGTACAATTCAGTAAAATGATGTTAGTCTCTCTATTCTCATAAGCACTTATCTTTCCTCCTAGAAACACCTCTAGATGCAAATAAACATGTCCAACTCTAAACGCCAAAGGAAACAGGCTTTGTAACCAGGGTAAATCCTTACTTTTAAATCTGTTCCAGTTACAAGTTCTACCTTACTATATTCAAGATCACTGTTTCTCAAATACTGAATATATTTTTTCTATATGGCGTAACCCTACCTTTCCCAGGATGCAAGTACGCTCTAGAGAATTATCATTCTGCTACTTCAACTAAGGCAGCAAAAATGAGCTTGCATTCCCAACTTCATTGAAATATTGTTTCTAACTTTTTCTCCTGTGTCATATTTGTTGTATATATTCAATGCTGTTATTAACATCCTGAATTTTCTTTCTTTCTTTGGCCTCTACTAAGACATTTCCCTAACACTTCCTGGTTCCTGGTCCTGGCTCCAAGCTGACTCAGTTCCTCTCTTCTACAAATTTTATTTCCATTTAATATTTTATTTATTCTGTTTTGTTCTACCTAAGCTCTTCCTGGAGTTCAATCCACCGAATGTGAGCCACCGAATTTGCTGTATATTCATAATATATATATATTTTTCCACATTATGACACAAATGAATTTTAGGAGTAAATTGATATATATATCCATGAAAGATGATTTAGTCATGGTAAAATGGTCATATAACGAAACACTTCATGAAAATAATTTTATAGCCAGGCTTGGTGGCTCAGTCTGTAATCCCGCGCCTTTGGGAGGCCGAGGTGAGTGGATTGCCTGAGCCCGCAGGTTCGAGACCCACCTGGGCAACTTGGCGAGACCTCATCTCTACAGTAAATAAAAAAATCAGCCGGGCATGGTAGCGCGTGCCTGTAATTCTGGCTACTCGGAAGATTGAGGCGGAAGGATAGCTGGAGCCCAGTGGGTCGAGGTTGCAGTGGCCGGGAGCCACTGTCTGGGCGACAGAGTTAGACTCCAACTCAAAAAAAAATAAAAATAATAATAATAATTTTATACAAATTGATCTATTCTGTTATAGTATGATATTTTTGCCCCCAATTTTGTCTTATTATAGGCAGGCTGGTAGCCAAGGCTTATTGATATTTAAGGAATAGGAGAATGACAAGCTGGAGTTATAGAAAAGTGTCTTGGTTGTTCTGGGAATACTGGAGTGGCCAAAGGCAGTTCAGGCCAGGTGCGGTGGCTTACAACTGTAATCCCAGCACTTTGGGAGGCTGGGGCAGGAGGCTTGCTTGAGCCCATGAGTTCAAGACCAGCCTGGGCAGCAGAGTGAGACCTCGTCTTTAAAAAAGTCAGTTCAGCAGGGAAATCTTTTATCCAAAATGAAGCTCATCTTGCTGCTGCAAGCCTTGCTGACATTACCTATCCTGACCCCAAATGTTACTTAACTAATTAGACTCCATAGCTTTATTTGAGCAAGTACCAGGAAGCCAATTTTGGTAGGTTGAAGTTAGTTTGTCTGTTATTTGGCTCAAAATAGTTTCTGTTCTGCTTTCACGTGCAAATTTTAAAAATTAAGAAACTGGTACTTGGGAATGCAATTAATACAATAATTGAAAATATTTGTTTTACAGAAATACTGTCTAGATTTAAACAGTCTTAGCTACCACTTTGCAATGGTTGTCAAGCATTCTTTGGCCATAAATATAAATGACAAACATTTTGAAATTGGCTATTGCTACCATAGTTACAGAACTATTTTCCTATTCAGTGTTCAGGTGGTTTAGAAAAAAATATAATTATGTTTGCTAAAAATGTACTAGAGTTTATTCTCTCATGCATAATCAACCTTGCAACCTCCTGTGAATGTATCAGATGACACAGCTCTGCTCCCACAGCAAAGTGGGAACAAGTTGTTCAAATACAGTTCCACAACATCCCATGAATAGAACTAATTTATCTGTAAGTATATGACCACCTGTTCAGAGTCAAAACCATCTTCTTCTTCAGGATTAAGTAGTTTAGAGAGTGCCTGCAAAGCAGAAACTGAAGAAAGAGTCTCTATGTCCATATTTTCAGATTCTGTAGTTTCCGTTTCCATATTTTCGGTTTCCACATTTTCAGAATCCATACTTTCAGACTCCATATTTTCTAAGGAAGAAGATAACCAGAAAGAGGTATTTTTCTTTTTTTGAGTAAGACATGAAGATATTTTTATTGTGATATTTCGTTTATTTCCCTGGGTCACTCTCTTGTCTTTTATTCTTCTTTGGAAATTCTTGTAAACTTCTTCAGACATAAGAAGTATTTTTGCTAACTTATAGACCTGGGGCAGCAGGTAAACTCAAGCATTCAGCCTGCTTTAACAAAACTTCTTACGCATCTAACAAGCATTTATTGAGCACCTACTATAATGGTTCTCAGGTTTTAGTGTGCTTCAGAATCATTTGTGGAGTTGGTTAAAAATGCATATTCTTTGAGCCCTACCTCTAGAGAAAGCATGTATCAGTGTCATATAGATTATATATCACTGTTTGGAAACATAAGACTAAATTTTTATCTATCTCATGTGTGCTGTTTAGGCCATATATTCCATTTAGTAAACTGAAAAACATGTTGCTTGTGGGACATGCCCTGATGATCTTATTTCATGCTTTTACCTCAGACAGGCCTATACCTTCTACTTTATTTCAATTATTTATTAACCCTTGATAATACCTAGCATTATATTGCCATTTGAGAACTCTAATGAATTAGTTCATTGACTTTAGTGAGAGCCAATGAAGTAATTGTTTTTGTGATTATAACACTGATATTATATGTCTATTGTGAAAATTTTAGAAACTAATATATTAAACATATAATCAGAAAATTATAACTACCTATAATCCTACCATCTAGATATCAGTCTTTCAAATAATATCTGCAGTTATATTTGAAGTAAGAAATTCAAAATGTTTAAAAGTCTTGGAGATGACAGACTTCAACGAATAACCTGAATACTGTAGAATTAGGCCTATTGTTAGTGATTTGGGTATAAATATAATAGGAGTATTTTCTATACTTCTATTGGTATTTTAAAACATTATTTTATAAAATTTACTCACAGGAAGCATTTTTAGTGCTTTCATTAAATAGCCCATGAAAATATTGCATTGTGCCTAGAACAGTAATACAAAGGGATTCTCCAGTGTGTGCTGGTCACCTGTCAAAATCAATCTGTAGGCAGATAGAGTTTTGCAAATCTTCTGTTTTATTAGTGTTTTACAATTATTTTGATTTTCTTTTTAAAATAGAAAACTAATCTTAATACCTATTGGTGACGTCAAAGGTATGAAACAAATATTAAATTGCTCTGTACCTCTAGTATAGAAGAAGTATCATCACAGTTAAATGTAAGGGCTCTGTAGTCACGCTGCTTGGATTTGCATCAGTCATTTACTTTCTTAGCTCTGTAACTTTGTGCACATTAGTTAAGCTCTCTATACCTAATTTTGTTTATCTACATAATGGGAATAATTGGCTGGGTGTGGTGGCTCACACCTGTAATCCTCGTACTTTGGGAGGCTGAAGTAGAAGGATTGCTTGAGCCCAGAAGTTTGAGACTAGCTTGGGCAATATACTGAGACCTTGGTTCTACAAAAAGTCAAAATATTAGCCAGGTATGGTGGAGTACACCTGTAGTCCCAGCTATTCAGGAGGCTGAGGTGGGAGAATTGCCTAACCCAGGGAGGTTGAGGCTGTGGTGAACCAAATCATGCCACTGCACTCCAGCCTGGGTGGCAGAGAATGACCCCAACTCAAAACAATAATAATAATAACAATAATAAAATGAGTATTAATGTCTCTCAGGGTTGTTGTGAAGATTAAGTAGCTTAATATATGTAAAAGAGGTTGGAACAGTGCCTGGCACATAGTAAGCACTCAATATATGTTAGCTATTATTAGTTCTTTAAAGGTTTAATTTTGCTGGGTATGATTGTCACGTCTAATAATGATATGGAATAAGTTAATGAAAAACTCATTACACTGAAAACTCATTAAATTAAAAAAAGTGAAATAAAAGGTGATAAAATAATCTTCCCTCACAGTGTGGTCTGGTAGTCTGCTATGGAAATTAATAGTTGACACAAATTAAACAAAGAGGCTACTGTTTATATTTTAAAATTCCTAGTTGATTGTGTTGATTAAATATTTACCTGACATTAAAAGCAAAAATTTTATTGTAATGTTTTCTATCTTTGACAATGAAAAGAAAAACTGCATCCAGATATCAGATGCAATTATATAATTCATATTTTGAGATTCTACAAACAAGACATTGCAGAAATGCTTTATTATGCCAGCATTACCTACTTTACAAAATTGTTGTGGTCAAATTTTGTGACATAGGTGAGAGAGTTTACCAAAATATGAAAAACTATATAAAATATCACTATTACCCAGCATATAGCTTGTAAAAGCTGAATGGTGGGGTTGATAAAAGGAGAATAAACTGGGACCAGTAAAGCTAACACATAATAAGGCATTCTGAAGTCCCAAATAAAGTGTCTGAGGTGGTAGTCAGAATTACAACACATGTGGTCTTCTTGGCAAAGACATGGCAGCAGGAGTTTCTGAACATGAGCAGCACATTAGGGCAAAAAGGTTGAAGTCATGGTTACAGGGAGGCCTATTTAGAGTAAAGTAGGATCCTGGCCTATAGGTGGAGGTATAGAAGGCAGAGTCCAGTTTTTAAGGGTTTGTGGAAAGTTGACAGCTAGATGAAGGTTCAGAATAGGGCAGGGCTCAAAGTTCCAGCTGGAAAAGAGAAAACAAACTAGGCACTGCATCAGTGGCTTTCTAATGTCACCTAGGCATGCACAGTGGAGGTTATGAAGGAAGGTTATGGTTCATTGGGTACGCTGGATACTGGATTTAGGAAAAGCATGTTAATTCTAAATCCCTATCAGTTAGTTGGGAAGGAATTCTGGCCTGGTTTTCACTAGGTAAGAAGCAGGCCGGTATGGGCAATGGAAAACTATACCTAGACTGAACATCTTCAAAAACTGGAGCTGGCACACAGTCAGCAGTTGATGAATACTGGTTGAAACATGATTAAATTCATACGAATGTTGTATTTCAAAACAGTCACCTTGAAAGGTTATATATGCTGGGCATGGTGGCTCAAGCCTGTAATCCCAGTACTTTGGGAGGCTGAGGTGAGAGAATTGCCTGAGCCCATGGGTTCGAGACCAGCCTGGGCAACTTGGTGAGACCTCATCTCTACAATAAATAAATTAAACAAATTATAAAAAAGGAAAAAAAGAGAAAGGTTATATAGTGATGTAAATTATGCTATCGGTGATCAAAATATTCTGAAATTTTCTTTTCTTTTGAAATTGCCTCCACATGTATCACCAATAAAATAAGTATCATTGTGGTATCATTCAGTTGGATCACACATCAGTTTTGCCTCCAAGTGATTTTTAGATTTATCTAGATATTATGTCTACTTTCAAAATCTGAAGATTTGCTTCTTTGAGGACATTCAAAAGCCTCAAGGTGATTCTAAGAGAATAGTTTCAAAAATAATTTGAACAATAGCAACATTATTAAAATATGTAGATTAGCCTCCAAAAGTGACTACTTTGAAAGGGATTTGACTCCTTGGGACGTACAAGTGTTTGTTAAATAATTTACAAGTGATTTAGTAACACTTTATATATCTGAAGTATGTTAGGAACTGGACTTTTTAAAGTCCAATTGGAATTCCAAATTATGCTGGCATAAAATGGCAAGGTTTGCATTGTAGCTAAATTGGAGTAGAAATATGATAATAAAATTAGCACTTTAGCAAAAATAAGTTTTCCCACATAACATGCAATAATAAATTATAAACACAAATTAATACATTATGACAAGTTTGTTGATATTGTAGCTTAAGAAACAAAAGAATCACAAATATTTTGTGAATACCTAAATGGTTCAAAGTATCAAAACAGAAAAACAATTATGTGAATTTTTGAAAAAAAATCTAAATTGAATGAAAATAAAGATTCTATCAGCCTCTTTAGAAGTAAATTAAAATCAATTAAAAGTAATTGATTAAACTTTATTAAAATATATTTTTAAAGTTCATTTGACAGAAACAGATTACATTTGAAAAACTAAAGCAAGATGTCTTTTTATGAACTATTCAGTGTCAGTTTGTAAGACTCTTTTATTTGTAAATTTGATATACATTTAAGTTTATCTTTAGTCTGGAAATCAAAGTCCTTCAGGACAAAGTCCCAACCTAATTTTCTGCCCTTCCCTCCTATTATGCTCCTTCATGTGTTCTGCATTCTGTCAATACTAAACTGCTTATTAAACCCTATAATTTCCTGCCTTTGTACCTTGGAGTGTATTCTTCCTTTTGTCCAGAATACTTAGGCAGTGTAGTGTAGTAATTTATAAAAGAAGATTCTGGAGCCACACTATGTTTGCATCTAGCATTGCTATTTAAATAGGTGAAGAATAACTTTAAGGAAAATGTAAGAGTTTCAGCAAAAACAAAATATGTTGCTAAATATTTTATTTAAGATATGGCTATTTAGAAAATAAATTTTCTAGGCCTTTTATTTTTTTTTTTCTCTCACTTTCTTTTGCTGGGCCAATGCCAATGGCAGCATTTTCAAACAGAGCCTTTGATTGTCCCACATCAACCTGAGTAGTTAGTGTCTTCACAGGTAGAGGTGTGATTGGGGGATCTATCTTGGTACTAGCTACAATGAGCTAAAGTGACAGCTACTCCAGAACCAGTTCATTACCAAAACACTGAAGCCAGCTAGGAACTAAAAGAGTTCAACCAGGATGGCTGCAGACTTATGGTACTGAAGCCATATCAGTAACCTTGCAATCAAATCAGACTCTGGTTGTGAGGCTGGATCATGCTATTTTATTTGCCTCCAGCCTCAGTATCAATAAGGACGGCTCTTTGACCAATTGGCGAAAAGTCTAGGGTAAATTAGTGAAACGCTGAATTACTATTCAGAGAGACTATTCAAAGAGAAAATATATTTAATTAATTAATAATTAAATATAATTTAATTATTAATTAATTAATTTATTTATTTATTTTTGAGTTGGAGTCTCACTCTGTCGCCCAGACTAGAGTGCAGTGGCGCCTCCCGGCCACCGCAGCCTCGACCTGCTGGGCTCCGGCGATCCTTCCGCCTCAGCCTTCCGAGTAGCCGGAATTACAGGCATGCGCTATCACGACCGGCTGATTTTTTTTTTTTATTGTAGAGATGAGGTCTCGCTGCCCAAGCAGGGCTCGAACCTGCGGGCTCAGGCAATCCACTCACCTCAGCCTCCCAAAGGTGCAGGATTACAGGCTGAGCCACCGAGCCCGGCTTATATTTTATTAATTCAAATATATATGGTAACTAAAATCAGAGTAATAATCACCGAAGAGTATCCTTTTGGAACTTGTTTAAGTAAATAAATAAAAACATATCCCTATGTAAAATATTGACTGTTTATAGCTGAATGATTTCCAAGTATTCAAAATCCATTTAGTCTCTAAATAAATTTGGCATTTCTTCTGCAACTGTATTTATATAGTGCCTTATTCAGCAAATCCTGTATTAAATTCTCCAGAGAACACAAAAGTAAACAGTTTCTCTGCCTATGTCAGAATTAAATTATACTAATTTTTTTCTTGTTTACAATTTTAACAAGTATATCAATGATTTCCCATCTATTAAAAATGATTCATTTGAGTGTGTCTTTACAATACCAAGAATGATTTCCTTTTTTAGATCTCTTTCACTGCCATCAAATGTACCAACTAATAAGTAACTACGGGAACTTAACAGAGTTTTTGTTACAAATTTCAAATATATTTAATGAAAGATGCTCCTGAAAGTACCCAGGATCTTTCATAAACAAAAAGGTCAATAAATTAAATTATTGATTATTGAATCAAAAGAGCATCTTTTGATGTAATATTTTCTTTATTTATTTTAGCCATTTTATAAGGAATCTCTACAATCCCAATCATTTTTGAAAAGTAGGTTTTTATATGGAGAAGCAAATCCTTAGTTTCTATAGAACTCATCCTGAGTTATCAAATGCTGTATAGTACATTTCAGGCAAAATTACTACACTTGTCATTTCAGTCTCATACTCCACCTTTATCTAAAAAGGAGTTGAGGTAGCAAATTTTTTTTTTCTGTACTCTGAAATTTTCTGTCCAAATCCTATTTTCTTAATTTCTTCAGGAAATCGTCTCTGTTCTGAATCCTTATCACGACAGAAAACTCTTAAGGAGAAATGATTCCTATCTTTCTTGTCAAACTCGGTTCTCTCCCCTCACTGTTTTAATTTTTTTGATACAGTTCCTCACCTTTTGACAGTCAAAAGACATATAATACTCACTATCCCGATCAGCCCTTGAGTAGTAGCAGGTTTTGTATGTACAGATTGTCTTTTCACACTACACTCCGGCTCTCCAAGTGGGGGATCTGTTTCCCCACTCCTCAGCAGATCTGACCAAGCTCCGTCGTCTCCCTCAGGACATTATTTACGTAGCGAGTGGTTAGGGACATTTATTTCAGTCAGACCAGCGTTATACCTCCTCGCAAAAATATATCCTAACCAAGACATGCTAGTCCAGGATAAAACATGCCTATACATATGCAACAGAAGTTTCAATGGCTGCTCCAACTTGGAGCCCCCAGGTCTACCTATTAAGAAAACATAGTTTACACACTTAGTCATTTTTAAAGGGAACGGAGGACCAGTAAATGTGTGTGAGAGAGTTGAGAGAAGGGCCAGTTCGGAAACATTCCGATGTTCATTTTGGCCATCTGAAAGTCGATCAGCACCCATCCCTTGTATGCTACAACTATCCCATTTCTCACTCACTTTCTGAGAGGCCGAGTGTTGTTAAAGCAGAGTCGTCCTTCTAGGGTCTAGGATAGCGGGATTTAGGGAAAGGGTCTCCTCTACCTTGTGCAACTTGTGGCATTTGGGGGTTTTATCTTTCAGAGTCGTCAGGGACGCTAGAATCCCCCCTATTTCTCTGATAGCCACGGCATCGAAGGACCCCGTTGTTCCCCCCTTGAGATTCCAGTTTTCTCACCTTAGTCAGTTTTCTGGTCTCTGGCTAGGCTCGGAAAATAGACTGTGGAGAGCTCCGCGTTTCTGTTGCCAGGGTAACAACTTAATTTCAGTTCCCCCGCCCACCTCCGGTTCCCGCTTGACTTTTCTGGCCAATCACAGAAGAGTTCTCTCTGAAATGACACCAGAATCAACCAATCCGAGCGCGTCCAGATCACTGGTCGCCCTTTCTATTTAACTAGGTCGACCCCATTTACTTTTCAGTCTCGGTTCACGTCTCTTCAGTGGGAGACTGCTGGTACAGGAGGCCGGTTCTTTCCAGCTTGAGTAGGTTTGGCCCCGCCTCTCTAGTGGCTACGCAGGCTCGAGGGCCGGTCCGTTTACTTTGCGGCGAGGACAGCGACTGGCAGCGGCTGCGGCTGAGGCTGCTGCGGCTGAAGTGCCGGGTTTTCTTTGCTCGTATCATCTGCAGGCTTCGCTCTCCTTTACGCTTCTCCTGCGCGTGAATTCCAGCTTTGAGGACTCCATCTCCCGCCGATCCCGAGCAGCTGGGGCGGAAGGGTAGGGTCGGTGGGTTCAGGATTGAGGTTTTGCTATCCCCTACACGCCCTCTCCCTAACATCCCCAGCCCACAACAGAAACACGTGTTGTGCCTCCCTCCGGGCGTGTGTGTGTGTGATCGCGCTTTTTTTTTTGCTAGGGGCTAGTCTCCCGAGCCCAAAACCCCAGGGAAACGCCGCTCGACAATCTCACGGCTCCGGTGGGACACGGGCTGGAACTATGCGTCGCTCCCACTCCTGGGAACATCGGAGCCGGGTGCCCTGCTTTTCCCGCCTTGGACTAGAGAAATGCAGTCTTGCCGCGCGCTTGCCATGATAGGGAATCTGGGTGTCTGAACTTCACTTAGAGATGGAGTTGTGATCCGAGTTTCCCCCGAATTCCGTGGTTTGGTTTTAAACAAAGTGGCGGGGGAGGGGTGGATTAGTAAATATTTGGAGTATTCGGAACTGGTTGCCCGTGATCAATAGTAGGACACTGCAAATGCTTTTAATGAAGGGTTACTTTTGGTTATTCATGGATTGGAATTTGATTATGAATGAACTAAACTGCTCCTCTTCTTTCTGCTACTTTGCTTTTCTTAACGTCCACCCCATGTGGCAGAAATAATAATGAAGTTTGTATAATTTGTCCATTCTACTTGTTATCCACAATAAACAAAAAATACGGGTGGGATATTTAAGTTATTGGCTAAAGTAAAGTTATCGGCTTTCTGGCTAAATTACCTACACCATAATTACCCTTATTACTGTGGATGATCAGAGTTAAGTGTCTTGCATTTTGTTAGTTCTCTAGATACTTGAGGAGCTTAAATTACATATGTTATGCCATCTTCTTTGTGTTGCTTGCTTTTCAGTTTTCATTCTGCATTATTCTAAGACTGTAATGCTCAGCCAGTGTTTTTCAGATCTTTTGGTTGTAACTCATTTAAGAAATTTTATATTGTGACCCAATGCACACATACACAATATATAACTGACAACCGTTTTGAAAAATTACCATTTACTACCTGCAGCGTTCTCTGATAATTTGCATTATAGTTTTAAAAATGTATACCACAATCCTCTAATGAATTATCACGAGACCTTTAGTTTTCATACTTATGCGTGAACTTAGGGAATTTATTAAAAATGCAGATTGTCCTAGCTTACTCCAGAAATTGGTTCTGTGAGTCTGAAGGGCTTGGTACAGTGCCGGATGAATAGGTGTTCAATGAACATTAGTGTTCTTCTTGGATAACAAATGTTATTTATCTTTGGGATTTAATCACCTTTTCAAGGTTTTGCCTGTCCCTGGCAAGGTGAAGTCCAGTGCTAAGCATTGTTTACTTCAGCTTGAGGAAATAGGGAGGTTGGGGATGGGTCCAGGATTTAAGATGAATCTTTAAGCACTTGGCTTCTATGGAGAAAGCCAGAAATACAGAAACTTAAAAGTTGAGAAGCATAAGGATTAGAGTGGTTCAGTGACCTGTCCAGGGTCGTGCTGTCAGTGAGTGGATCTCAGGGAACTGAACTCACTTGATTAAGATTCTGCCTAGATAGCAGGTGGGATCTAGAGGCAGGAGTTGAAACAGAAAGAGAGCTTCCCTGACTTGCCTATCCCAGAGCAGAGGCAACTGAATTTTACTGCTAGTTTGGTTTTAAAGTAATGACACTTGAGATATCTAAAAGAAAAAAATACACCCAAAAGCTGCTTTGGGTTCATAGCTATGAAAAAGGGATATAGTTTAGCTAATTCTCTTATAGTATATAGAGTAACTATTTTAAAACACTGGTTAAATTTTTTTTTTGAGTTGGATTCTCACCCTGTCACCCAGACTGGAGTGCAGTGGCCGCTCCTGGCCACCGCAGCCTCGACCTGCTGGGCTCCGGCGATCCTTCTGCCTCAGCCTTCCGAGTAGCTGGAACTACAGGCGTGCGCTACCACGCCCGGCTCATTTTGATTTATTGTAGAGATGAGGTCTCGCCAAGTTGCCTAGGCGGGTCTCGAACCCTCGGGCTCAGGCAATTCACTCACCTCAGCCTCCAAAGGCGTGGGATTACAGGCTGAGCCACCGAGCTCGGCTAACACTGGTTAAATATTAAAGCAGCATTGAAAGAAATTAAAGATGAAAAAAATCTCACTTAATTCTGCTAGCTTAATATAACTGATAATTCTTTTTCCCTTTTATCTATATCCATATGTACCTATATTTTTACATGATTGTGACCCTTGTTTATACAGTTTTTTTTTATTTAATACAGTTTTGGAGAATTTTTTTCTATGCTGTGATAGTCTTTTTATTTTGCTTTATTAATGGCAGCATAGTATTCCATAGAGTGAATTGGCTGTAATTTATTTAGCCGAGCTAAACTGATAGCAGATTTATTCCATGTTATAAAAATAATACCATAAGGTCGTGGTTATTTAAAATCATTTATATAGCTTTTGTCTTCCATGATACTAACAAGAGGAAGCCTAACAGGAAGGCTAGGGATCTGGGCATGAGCTTCGAGTCTTTGGTCCACTTGCATGTGTGGATTTGACAATCAAGGTTTCTATGTGCTAGAGCAGCAGTGATCCATCATGATATCCTTTATACATATGAGTTAGGTTGAATGTACTTTTTTTTTTTTAAGGCTAGTCAAGTGAAGCAGTGGGAATGGAGAAGGAACAAAGAAACGTATAACTGGTTGTGATTACTTGGTCGTAAACACCACTGCACTCGGACTAGCCTGAATTTATTTTTTTTAAACCATAAATATAGGTATTTTCAAGATGATTTACTTTAAAAATATATAAATCATAGCAGGTTCAAGCAGATTTGAGTGCCACAATACACTCACACTGATTAGTTTTCTTTATCAATATCTTTTTCAAAGATTATGTATGTGTATTTATTTGTAATTAAAAATTTTTAAAGAAACCAATTAATTTGACTGGAAGGATAAAAGCTACAATTGGTCTATATTTGCACATCTCCCTCTTCAAAGAAAATATATTCTCTTATTTTCTGCCACCCTAAAACATTAAGTAGGTCTTTTTTTAAAATTGTAAAATATTTCAAACAGAATAATAGACTATTATATACTATCATCAATGTACCTAGCAAAGATTTTACAGTTGTTAAAATTTTGCCATTTTCTTTGCATATTGATCTTTTCTAAAAACTAAAAGATTACAGCTACCTCTTTGTACCCCTTCCCAGTCACATTTCCTTCCCATCCCAGAGATAATTGCTTTTCCAAAGTTGGTGTATATTTTTCCAATCTGTGTTTATAAACACACTAAAGTGTGACCAAAAATGATTTATAATATGTTTTTACATAAATCTATTTATTCTTCTGCAACTTTTTTTAGTCAATACTGTTTTTGAAATGTTTAAGTGCAGATAACGTTATTTTTCATTGCTGTATAGTATTCTATTTTATGACTGCATCACTTTTTGAGGTCTCCATTTTGCTATTGTTGTTGGACATTTAGATTATTTCAGGCACACAGATATGATTTCACTTATATGAGGTCCCTAGAATAGGATACTTTATAAACATAGAAAGTAAAATAGTGGTTACCAGGGGCTGGACAGGGAGAGGAAAGGGAGTTTGTGTTCAGTGGGTACAGAGTTTCTGTTTGGGGTGATGAAAAAATGTTGTAAATAGATAGTGATAACATTTGAACAATGTTGTGAATGTACTTAATACCACTGAATTGTAAACATAAAATTGGTTATAATGGTAAACTTTATGTATATTTTACCATAATATTAAAAATTACAAACATAATTAGGCTTATTTCTCAAAAACGTGCTT